TACAATATGTTAATTATAGTAGATCTTAGTAAGGAAGTAAGTGACTTTACCTTACAGTTCAAGTAGAACCAAATCTAGAATTATAACTTGACATGGCACAAGTTCCACCAACATCAATGGAAGAAGTCCTAGAATTTACTAAGGAACCAAGGGTAGTAGAACACATAGAGATGGTGATTCTTAGGCTAGAGATTGAAGGAAAAAATCCAAATGTTATAGCTGAGATTTTGGATAAGCAAGAGAAAGATTTATCACAATAGTAGGTTGATGATTTATGTGATCAAGAAGCCAACGTTATTGATGATTTAACAAAAATGGTCATGGAAGGCAGTGTTTCAGAAATACATTTCTTTCAAGATTCTTTTCTATTTATGTGTGTAGCCTCTACTCTATAGTCTAAGCATGTAGCTGTAGGAAGTCCTACTCCTTTTCTCATTGGGGCATATCAACTTTTCTTCAACTTGAGGACTAGTTTTGTTTTTGAACCAGGGGAGAATGATGCAGGAACAGAAGAGACAAAATCAGAATTTTGTGAAATTTTATGCATTTATGTACTTTTGGACACCAAAGACATTTTTGTTATTTTACAATTTTTCTGTAGGGTTCAATAATAGGGCCTGATTCCCAATTTATAGTTTGTTTATATATAAAATTTTAGAGTCATTACATAAGTAGGATTAGAGTTATTGAGTCTTCTTTGAATTTAATAAGATATGACAACTTAGTTTGAGTCCTATTAGGATATTTGAGTCTAATAGTTTGACTCCTAAGATTATGGACATTTTACACAAAGAACAATGAAGTTTATTGATTTTTTTTCAGATTATGCTAAGTTGGGGCTCTAATAATTGTCCTAGGCTCCTAGTAGTGGATAAATAGATAAGACCCATCAGATTTGCCTGTCCATACCAATTGATCCTTAGAACTACTAATTCTGACTTTATAGCTGATTTGCGGGGTTTTGAATATCCTCTTGGACATTGGAGTTATTAGAAAAAGACTATTTACCATTAATGCTTAGGACTTCTTGTAATTGGAAGTCTGTGATTGGATTAGTATTAGCTACGTGGAAAAGTAAGCCATTTGTTGTCCAATTGTGAAACCAACACAAGATCTCACCTAAATCAATTAACCATTATAGCTATCTCCTTAACCATTAAATCGCTTTCAAATATTTATAACAGGTAGGACTAAAACCAGAGAGAGCCGAGGGGGTAGAACCAATAGAGTTCACGACCTTGTATTGAGAATATCTTCTGATGATGCCTCTTCATTTTTCATACTTATCATCAGAAAATGTTCTCAATATAAAGTCGGGATGTGCTGTGGGATATTGTGGGGCGCCTCCTTACGAGACGATGATGTGAGCTCGAACCAATATATGTCTAACTGTGAAAAAGAAAAAAAAAGAAAAAAAAAACTGGCCCGTAGAGAGTCATTTTGAAGTAGTTTAAAATACACCTTTATCCTTTATCCTTTATCGTGAAGGCATTGAATCGATGAGCGAATACCCAAACCCCTCTGGTTACAAGGCTTACCAATTTGTTCCCAACTGTGCCAATGATATTCTTGTCGTTGAAGTCAATGTGTAGGCAGTCTTACCCCACAATTGAGAGAGGCTATATTCATGATTTAAGCCTTAATCACTGATGCTGCAATAATGCAACCCAACTGTTGCGCCAAGGCCCACCCTCAGCTAGGGGTGTCCATGAAAAACCAAAAAACTGAAAAATCAAACCGTAAAATGCAGTTAATCGAATCAATTGATTCGGAATTTTTGAAAAATCAAAGGATCGGTTCAGTTTTTGATTAACATATAAAAAAATGACGGTTAGTTGAACCAACCGGTATATATATTTATATGTATATTTTATATATATTTAATATATGTCACATATTTTCTATGTATTATATATAAATATATATTCATTATATATATAAATATATACTTATATTATATTTATAATGATCCATTCATAAATATATTATATATTTTTAAAATATTTATAGTATATTATATATTTTTAAAATATTTCATTTATTATTTATAATATAATATTACATATATATTTATATAATATATATTATAAATATAAAAATCGAAGAACCGAATCGATCAAAAATCGAAACTGATGGACCAATTAACCGATAATAATGGTTCGATTTTGGTTTGGCAAAATGAAAAAACTAATATCACCAATTAACTTTTGATAACATAGGTAAAACGGTAAAATGTTTATATGTCTAGAAAAGTATTTTCAACCAATATTATATATAATATCTATTAAAATCGATCTGACGAAATTATTTAATTGGGACAAAACCATATAGCCAAAATCGGCATAAAACATTAGGTCAATTTAGATAGTCATACTTGGCTGCCAACATCTACCTGCCATAAATTGCAACCACTTATAGCTATCTTGTAGTGTGAGATGTGCGGCTGCTGGAATAAGCATGGGTAAAGAAAGTGAGTAGTAAATCTGAGCCCTCACTGGGCCAGAAGTCAACTCGTTCTTTTGTGCTATGGCTCCATTGGCCACATGACATGGTCTCAATTAACTACAATATATTTCATGGCATTGTTGTTGGGCTCCATGGGGCCACTTGAGATGACAGTA